GTTAAGAGGACTCATCCAACACTCGGGGTGTGGGTGAGATAGGTTCTAGGTAAATAGATGGGTAAAGAGCGAGATGGATTGTTGGGTAGGGACAGCGGTCAGCTGCTCCTGCAGTCGCCTCTTACGACCAGTAGGAGATCCTGTGGGTGTATTCTTCTTAGTGGCCCGCATCCCACACGGGACTATAGTGGTGTTACTTTATAATATATCTGCATATAATATATTGCCACCTCCTCAAGTACCTTACTCTAAAGGTGTTATATGAAGACAAGAATGGGTGTAAGATATTATATGGTATTGCCATTTTAAGATGTCACTGTTTTGAATTTATTTGCTTTTGACACCTTTAATAACACAATACCTAAACATCTGCAATCTACCTTATTTTACCATCCTCATCACTACGAATATGTGGGTAAAAAAATCTCAAAATGTAAAAATGTTGACATATTTATATGCTTTTGCCATCTTTCCACAGATTTATAAGTTTAGTTCTTCTGTGTAGGTTTCTTGAGAGGAATTGTTTTTGGAGTAAACAGGATACCCTGTTTGTAAGGTTTATTCGTCTTTTAATTTCTTTGCTTGTTTTATTGGTAGTAGTCACTAGCAAGCAAAGCTATGTAAAACTGACAACACTGTCAAACATATTACTTTCAAAGTCTGTTTCTCGTTATTTGTCTGCTATGAAATCCTTAGTAACTATTACGTATTTGGGTGTGCCTTTGTGGATAACTAAACCGATCTCTCGAGCTGCCGTTTCCTAGGCTACGAAATATTGCTCAACAGATCGATTGCTACAGTATATTCGCTAATGGCAATGCCATCATTGTATGCAAAGATTTGTATTGATCTATTGTAAATAGAAGCGGCTTCTCTAATTATCGTGGAAAAAATTTGGATTCTTGGATAAAGAAAATTACAATTTTACAACACTGGGATTACTGAGATACACTGTATACATAATAGGCCATCCTTGTCTCTACCCATTGTCGGGTTTTAATCTTTACAGAATCCTACTTGTTTTATTGATTGATAAGTGATAGCTTTTAACAGTTGCATAGAGGACAATTTGTTTAATAATTTTTATATTTTATATTGTGTTCATATTGATAAAAATATTTTTACTTGTGCATATTAAGTTTATAAGTTTTAATCTGTTACTCAATTCATGATTGTAATTATGTTGTAGGTTTTAGAATAAATAAATTTAAGAAACACAAGTGTTTTAGTCATTTAAAAGATAATACAATTTTTTAAACAAAGCAATATACCATTAAACAATTTATCTAGAAAGTCAGTGTATATATAACAGAAATAAGTGGGTATGGTGATGAATCCGTTCAAGGTATCAATAGTGACTTTTCCATATCTAACAACTTCTTCGAAAACATAATTTTACTTTGATCTTATTGGACCAATAACAATAAAACTAGGAATGTTTCTACCATCCCATACGGAGCTTCAAGGAAGAAAATCTACATTAACTACTAAACCATTTCACTAATCACAATAAAAAAATGGCAAATGACAGTACTTTCATAGTCATAAAGTAAATACTAGTTTACTGTTACACCACTGTCTACACCAATGATGGTATATTTGGGTATAGAAAGCTTCTTTTCAAATGAATGCCGAGGTTGCTTACATCAAAACAAAAACAACAAATAATTAATGAATACTGGCGCTATTTAGACATGTTTAAATTAGAATAAGTCAGAGTTTTTGCATCGATATATCGCAATTAATACAGTATGGATCCATCACTTCACTCGGAAATCTAATTAGCAGTCATTGAGTGGGCAGCATTCTGAGAAAAGCCTTTAAAGCTACCGAAGACACAACAAACCGCCGGAAAGTTTATGGCCTCTATTTTTTGGGACCTGCAAGGTATTATTTTCATTGACTATTTGAAACAAGGTTAAATAAAGAAATTAAAAGAGCATGTAGGGATGATAAAAATAAACATATAAATGAAGAATGCGAAGAACTAGAGAGACATGCAAACCGGTATGAATCCGGTTTTCTATTTTGATGTTAGCTTTCTGATTCCAATATAGATTGAGAATTATTCGCAGATAAGCTGAGAGTGCACTAGATCTTATTTTCTTAAAATACCTAGTATGAAACGTGATATTGATACTCTTACAATAATTAATTGAGGTAATGCATTATTTTTACCTTTTTTTATTTTTATCTTTTCTATTTTTTTATCTCTTTATTAATATAAATGAAAAATATCTCATGTTTGGTACCTACCATCTATTTGTTTCTGATAATGGTAGCATCTCTTTCTTTTGAAAAATTTGAGCGCTTGTTAAACCACTTGTTACAAAAAAACAAGAATTGGTAACAGCACGAATAATATCAAATTTTGGAAAAACGTGTGTAAAATTATGTGGCTAAATTGTTCTAACGTCGAAAATTTTACAGCCTTATTTATTTCTTTCTAGCCTCTTATACAATAGGTCCCACTAAGTTGGAACCATATAGAAAACTTTTTTATTGTGATTAAGAAAAGTTGATCAAATCTAAAAACTACGTTCAAATATACAATTACATACATTTACAGTAAAAAAATAAGTTTTGTTATTGTTTACTTATTTTTTTATTTTGAATTAACATTTTTATCTCTTGTAATTAAGAAGCACATGATAACTTTATCGTCTCTAAATGTTTTTTAACAATTTTGCAATTAAGCACGTAATTAATACATCTGCATTTATTTTGCAACTAGGAACGTACTTAACTATTTTAACTAAAATAATATTATTACTTACTGTAAATAAATAGATATATATTTTTTCCTCATTCTACTAACGCCTCGGTGTATCTACCTTTTCGTTTAATACATTTAATCATTGTATTAGGAAATTTACATAATAAATTTTTTATCATTTGTGGAGAAATATTCTGGCATGTTTCTAAAATTATTCTCTCCAAATGGTTAACATTTTTAAACCGCGCTTTCTTGTCAATATTTTTTATCAAATACCCCGTAAGAAATAATCAAGGGGTTAAATCAGGGGATCTAGCAGGTCAAAAAAGATTAGCATATCGGTAAATAACTTTTCCATCGAGCATACGTTTTAAGTATTCCCTAACATTCAATGCACTGTGGCATGTGGCACCGTTTTGTTGGAAATAAATACAATGACGTTCTTGTAAGGGTAGTTTGTCTATGAAATCATTGATATGAGTTTGCAAGAACTAAAAAGAACGTTCTATGTTCATAGCTTTATGACAAAAAGTCCTATTAACCTTAATTTTAAATGAATATTGATCACCAGACTTCATACTAAAATTTGGATTTTCGTCTGACCACCAGCGACAATATTGTGACAGGACATGTATGTATAAAATGTATAAAATGTATTGCAGAAAAATGCGTAAGTGTCATTAAAGAAGCTAAAAAAACGGTTATGACAACATGTCTACCACTTTTTTCTTTTAGTGCCCTGTCCGACTCTCGAACGTTGGCGATCATATTGGCAATTGTCTACCACATCACAGCATAAATCGAAGGTATTATAATATTTATTTTATTATTTTAAATTACGAGTTTTATAATCTATGTATTGGTCATTCATCTAATATTAAATGTAAGATCAAATACTTCTCTCTTTGTAAACCATTTTCCATCCACTCCTGAATGTAGGTCTCTCCCAATTGCTTCCATCTTTCTCTATCTTGCGTCAATCTAATCCACTGGTTGCCTGCCACTGCTGTTATGTCATCTACTCATCTTTCTTGAGGTCTCCCCATACCTCTTGTTGTCGTCCTTGGTCTCAATTCTAGAGCTCTCTGTGTTCGCCTGTCATTATATCGGGCTGAGTGACCTGCCCAGCTAAATATATCAAATCCAACATGATAAGATCAAATACTTACCATGTTGGAATCATGAGTTTTTCCTGTTTTTTTCTCATAATGTGATCACTAATGAGAGTATATTACTGCCATAAGTACGTGTGGTTGTCTTTTTAACGATAAATCACATGCTATGTTTTTTTCTGACTGAGTTTTTTTTAAGTTAAAGTTACTTTAATTTAATCGAATGAATTATCTTTCTATAAAGTCGTTTCAGGAACGCAATTCAAAATCATTGAAAATATCATTTAAAAGTCATCTACTTTAAAATATAATATAATAGGCCTGAATTGTCAATATGACTAAAATACATAAAATTTAATTATAAGAAAATTTTTTTGTACCAAACAGCTTCTTAAATTACCAAGTAATAAAACAATTTTTTTTAATTTGTATTATGAGAACTAGGGATAGGAAAAACCTACCGGTTTTAACCGAAAACCGTTTTTTTTTACTTCTCAATAACCGGTTTAATCGGTTGTTTTTTATACCGGTTATAACTGGTTTTATATTTTTAAAGTAAAAACCGGTTATTAGGCTTTTACCGTGATTAGGATTAGGTTAGGTATTATCCCTGGATCCCAATCATAATTATCATTCTCAAGTAATTATTCCAAACAAAACCATAATTTAAATTTTATTTTATTTTATAAATACAGAAGCAAACTGAAAGTACAAACTCACATCAGTCAGAAACAATTAAGTTTTATTATAATATTTCGTTGAAAAGGTATTTGTAATCATAATATTTACGAGTATTATCCAGTCGAATGAAGTATCGCAAACTAAAGTGCATTGTAAATGTAACTTTGTAACCTATTGGATTAAGAAAACCGAAAAACGGTTTTTGTAAAAACCATTTTTTTTGCCGGTTATAGCCGCCAGATTAAACCGTAAGCAAAAAAAAACCGGTATAACCGAAAACAGGTGTTTTGTTAAAACCGCCATTCCTAATATGAGAACGATTTCCAAAGTAAAAATCAAAACGTCAAAATAAAAATATCGTCCTTCGCATTATCTATGTTATTGTAAAGTTTTGTAACTTCATTATTCCTGCCCGGGATATATAATCTTTACAATAACCTCTTGATATGCGTTTTTTACACTTGATATTACCATACATAAATCTATCGTAGCTTTTAGGTGTACCTAGGACCCGTTTTATCAAGTTAAAGAGAGAATTAACGCCAGTCTGCCTTTTAGAAGTTCCGTCATGGTCTCAGGATGGATGGAATTAACGGAATCGGGATAGCTATAGTACCTTATATATTATTGGACTCTATTGACTGTATTGGTAATTTTTCAGGACTTAGGTTGTTCAGGTTATTATTGTATGGACAGGTAAAATTTGAGAATTTTAGGTTGAGAAATAAATGTTTAGGTTGTATTTCCGGTTTCCCTATTCGGATCTTTCTTTATATTTTTTCTTTCTTAAACTAGCGAATGTAAAATCATTAACAACTTAAACGATATTTAAAATAAGCAGTGCTGATGACAAATGGTACTGGTATCTGCAAACATCATACACCGTGCCTTTAAGAGTTGTGACAAAGTAGAGCTGTAGATAAAACAAAATTCTTAGTACACAGAATTACATATCTAGAATGTCGCATAGAAAAGGCTTGAACTGTCTTTGGCTGTAGCAAAAATCCATAGAGTTAGAATCTATGGAGAAGCTATGAGCATATTAACTTGTGTATTAAAAACGGCGTAGGTAAACAGTAAGAACACGATATATTATACATAAAGATAACATAAAGATACAGTCAAATACTATTAATTTATTCTCTGAACTAAGGGCCATTACTTTGTTTACGTATTTGTATACTAACCTGTACAACGTTATTTCTGAAGATTTTTTATTAATATTAACATTGCTTCTGCTACTGCAACTACGTTGAGAACAAGAAACCATTATTATGCAGGATCACAATATATTATTACAGTTTCTTTAAAAGTATTATAAGACTAAAAGTATTCGAAAAACAACAAACAAAAATATACGATCGATCAAAAGTGTCAAAACAGTAATACCAATATGGCCGAAGTGAGGTCGTTTTTAGTCACGTGATGCCCTCTCCATAGATTCTAACTCGATGCAAAAATCTAAGGTATGTAACATGTACCTGAATACTGATATAAAAACACGAGTCTTAAAAAATCTATATGCATTCTACCTATTTGGATGATGTGAAAGCCTGTACCTTACTGGAGGAAGCATCGAAATGACTAGAAGCCTTCGAAACGTAATGCTACTTTACCTCGTTTTTAAACTAGGAGGAGTAATTCAAATTTACCGCTCCATAATGCTTGTTATATTGGCGATTTTTTATATTTTTTGCGTTATTCCTTTAATTTTAGATTTTTAATCTAAATTTAATAAAAAACAGTATTTTTAGAAGTCTTTGGCGACATATTAGTATTATTAAGCAAAAAATATAAATTTAGTGCCAACTATCAGTGGTAAATCTGCTTCTCCACATAAAAAACGCCGAGTAAACTTGGGCAAAATAAAACAGCCAACAGGTTATTTTTGTAGAATATTGATTGTTAAAATTAAGACTTACTAAGTAATATGCTAATTCAAGGTCTTGCCAATTTAACAATTTATAAAACAATAATTAAGGAATATAAGCATCCTGGACCAGTAAGATGCCTTCAACAATTTGGCTGTCGACCTTCTAGACTTACAACATATTGTGATAAAAAAGTTAAAACATCTGTATGGCAGATTATACACAGCTTTTTTTTCAAGAATGAAATTCCCACTTTAAATAATATTTTAAGTGAAATTAACAACCGCCCAGATCTTCCAAATATATGTCTTAAAGCAATAAATTCTTTCTTTCTCTTCTTCTTAACGTGCCATCCCCGCTACGAAGGTTGGCTATCATCATGGCAATTTTGACCCTGGAGGCTGCCGCTCGGAACAATTGTATGGACGTGCAAGCAAACCACTCCCTGAGGTTTCTCAACCATGACATTCTTCTCCTACCTAGGCTGCGCCTTCAATCTTTCCTTTCATAATTAGTTGTAACAGTTGATATTTATTCCCACGTGTAATATGTCCCAGGCATTGTAGTTTCCTCATTTTAACACTCAATGCGACCTCCTTTTGTTTGTTCATCCTGTCTAATACCACTTGGTCAGTTATCTTATCCTTCCAGAAAATTTTTAATATTCTTCGGTATCTCAAATGCCTCCAGCTTACCCATATATTGCTTATTTAGTGTCCACGCCTCCACCCCATATAACAGGACTGAGAAAACATAAAATTTAAGCATTCGTATTTTCAGCTTTAGGCTTAGGTTTCGGCTACACAACATTTGTTTCATATTGTTAAAGGCACTGCGGGCTTTCTCTATTCTTATTCTTATTTCTCTGGTGTATTCGTTTGAATATCTGTTATATCGTTAATATTTGTTCCGAGGTAATTGTAATTTTTCTTTGTAATAATCATGAATTTGTTCTTCTTTGTATTCAGTCACAGACCAAATTCTTCACTTGCTTCTACCACTTTGTTTAGTAATCTCTGTAGATCGTCAATATTTTCTGCTATGAGCGCGGTATCATCTTTACTCCGGCTTTTTCGTTTATAAGAGCTTTTTTAATAACTTCTTTCGCGTAGACATTGAACAAGGTTGGAGACAACACACAGCCCTGCCGATCACCTCTTTTGATCTGTATTCTATCTGATATCGAGCTGTTAATTTGTACTGTAGCTTCTTGTTTGTAGTATAGATTCCTTATCACTCGCATGTCCCTTGTATCAATATTTTTATTTTCCAGTATTTGCATCAGTGGCCTATGTTTTACTGTATCAAATGTTTTGTTATAGTCTAGGAAACACACAAATATGTCCTGATTTACGTCTAAGCATCGTTGTGTTAGAATATTAAAAGCAAACAGTGCCTCTCTAGTTCCCAGTCCGTCTCTAAAGCCAAATTGAGAGGGTCCGATGTCAACTTAGAATTTTTTATATACTCCGATGAATGATTTTTAAGAAGACCTTTAATATATGACACATGAGACTAATGGTGCGAATTTCTTGTATCATCTGTTCTCTTACTTCTGGTTTTCGTAATTTGTTGATCTCAACTGCTTTTTTGGGGGTTATGCTATTAATTTTCTTTAGTTTTATTTTCATTCTTGCAACTAGTGGATTATGATTAGATGATATATCTGCACCAGGGTATGTCTTAATTGACATTATGCTGTTTCTGTATCTTTCATTGATTAGTAGATAGTCTATTTGGTTTCTCACTATGTAATGTTCTGTGTATTGTGGAGATCTCCATGTGTATAAACGTCTGTTAAGTAGTTCGAAAAAAGTATTTGTAATTACCATTCTGTTTTCCTGGCAAAATTGTACCAGTTTTTCACCAGACTCGTTCCTATTCCCTAATCCAAAATTTCCTACCAAATCATCTGTCCTTCCTTTCTCAACTTTAGCATTTAAATCACCCATTATTATTGTGATGTCCCTTTTTTTGGTCAGTTTCAATGCGAGTCAATTTGTTCATAAAATGTTTCTATTTCATGTTCTTCTTTGTCCGCTATTGGTGCGTATATTTGTATTATATTCATTTTTGCGATGTTTGTATTTATTTGTAACATCATAACACGATCGGACAAAGGTAGGAAGTTCAGGACATGACGAGATAGAGTCTTTTTTAACATTATACCCACTCCATTACGATGTTGGGGATCTTGGTTACCGGAGTAGTAGATTATGTGATCTTTAATATGACAGCATCCATTTGGGTTTCGCTTATACCCAAAATGCTAATATTCATTCTTTGCATTTCTTTAATAACGTTGTGTGTTTTTCCTGGCTCATTAATGCTGGTAGCGTTTTATGTTCCAATTTTCATTATTTAGTTGGTAATATTTATATTTTGACAAGGTTTTCGCTGGTTGACGACCCGAAAAGCCTTGTCACTTTTCTTGCCGGATCTTGGCCTCCGATCTCCATGATCTGTAAGATTTTGTTGATTATTTATCATGCAATGATAATTATACTAGAGATATCCATTGGATCTTTACTGTAGTGGTTTCTCGTTGCCTGCTACATCCCAATGCCGTTGACTAATATATTAGCTCTTCCGCCTTTGAGGTCGATTTCTCAGCCTCAGGACAATGAGTTGCCCTACCACCTGTCAGCTCATCCACCCTCAGCTGTTGGCCAACTACTGGGAGATTACTTATACCGGTAATCTTTCGGTAAATTTTCACCATATCTGGTTACCCTCATATAAATATATATGAGGGCATTATAAATAAATTCTTGAAGCAAATCAATTTTAAGTAAGTAAATATAATAGGTTAGCCACAAAGGGGTATACATTAAAAAAAACGTACAAAAGAATTTACATGTTGTATCTGAGTTTAGTAATCAATTAGGAGATAAAGAGCTATATTTAAAAGTACATTTTATTATTTTGTAGGTATTTGAAGAGAAGTCAAAAAAGTATTCTCATTGAACTTGATGGTATTATAAGATGGAGACGTAGATACCTAACTTCTATAAAATAGTACAGAAGTGAAGATAAACCCATTTATTATCTTGACGAAACATAGGTAAATGAACGTCACACAAAAGATAAAATGTGGATAGACACTAACATGACTGACTGACAAACCGTAGGCAAGCATTTATTGAGGGGTTGTCTAATGATTTAAAAAAAAAACCCATCAGACAAAGGAAAACATCACATAGTTTTACATATAGGTTTTACTTTGTAAGGGAAGAAAGACAGATTGATTACCATAAAAAAATGAATGCATCTGTTTTTAAAAATAGGTTTAATAATACCTTGCAAAAATTATCAAAAAACGCTGTCATTGTAATGTATCATATTACAGCCGAAAATTAAAAAATATTTTATAAATAATGTATGTAATATAATATGTAAAACTAATAATCAAATTATACTGTGGCTGCCTCTATATTGTAATAATTATATTTTTGCTTATAGGAGGTTAAATGGAGGTTTTATAGGGCGACTAAACAATTACTCATTCAGAGAAAAAGAATTCCGCACTTTATGAGAAACTCCAAGGGTAAAATTATTCTCGACTTAAACGAAAAAAAAAAAAAAGGAAGAATGGACCATCTACATACAAGAGCTCTTCCTGAATACGAGGCCACCATTTAACACCACAAAGTAAACGAATACTAGTTCTAGTACTTTAAAAGCAGAAATAGAGAAAGCCACCAAACAAAGCAAAAATACGAAATCTCCAGCCCTGA